ACTGGTCCGTACGCAGGTACGTTCGTAGACTCTGATAGCTGATTTAGATTTTAGAGTACTGAGTACAAGATCGAAACAATTTTGAGACTGCTTGGTCTGTGTCTAGACCGATCCAATCCAGTCCAATAATTGTTAAAATCCAAACCAGACCAGATTACATTTAAACCAATCCAAAACAACCCACTAGGAAAACCAAACTAAAACTTAAGCTTGAGCCCAAACTATTCTCAGGCTTACATGTTCCTTGTTGCCATTTTTACATCGATTATTATTGTAGAGTATAATTTTGTTCGACGAAGATCAGTCAGCGTAATCCAGCCAGTGCCATGTAGCAGCATGTTAAAGACATCCACAGCGCCGGGCGGGCTCCACTCCAGGGATGGCATCTTATCCCAGCGGCGGGCGGTCCTCCTCGTCGAGCGGCGGCTCCTCCCTTCTCCAGTGCTCACGTCTCTGGTGGCGCCTCCCGTGTGGCTACGCACGGGAGGTAGAGCGGCGGGCCTGCATATCTTGCCATCGCTGCTCCAGTTCCAGTGCGCCTAGACTATGCTCTCCAGTGTCCATGGCTCGTTGACGTACTCTGCCGTAACGGCTATGCTCCGGAAGCTTCGCCCTTTCTGACTTCCTTGGCTCATCGGCATTTTGGCGGCTCCAGCCTCGTTGGTCCAGATCGGCGTCTCCCCGTATCCCGGCTCGCCAACGTTGCTGGCTGCCATCGCATCCCGTGTCCTTGCTCTCTATGCCTCGTTGTCGCCTTTCGAACCCCGACCGCCATCCCTTGCCTTGGCCCTCCTCCGCCAGATCCAACACTCGCGCGTCCAATGGCACATGTTGTCACCCTTCGACGGCGGGCGTACCTCGCCTTCCGGCAGTGGCTGCCCCCGCTTGCGACCAATTCCCCGTCCTTGGATCTTGTCCCGACGGCTTAGCGATTGTTCGGACATATATAGGCCAGGGCAAAATTCATGCTCAGCTTGTTGATGCTGGCAGTGGCAACAACTGCGGGTGTCGTCTCCCTTTTTTGATTGCTCAGGGCGTGGCCTTCCTGGATTTTGAGATTTGGGACATCACTTCCGTGGTTATTTTTCTTGTCCAGGGTAGTTTAGTGATGTGTTGTAGATTATGTTTCACTCTGTCTAGCTAAGTTTTCTGTACTTATCTATTCTTAGTTACATTGGTTTAATGCTATGATTAGCACATGAGCATATGTCACAGTACTCTACTTCCCAAGCATGCAGCATGTTCAACTAATTGCTGAACGCCTGGTGCTTGGATAGCTCCCGGAAAAAATATGACGGAAAGCAGTGCCATCGGAATTGTAGCACATATAGTTAATACTTAACTAGCAAGAGGCCCATGCGTTGCACAGAACATCAAGATGCATTTATACGAGTTGTTTATCTCGTGGGAGATGAAGATGAATGATGGAAGGCCTTATCTGCAAATGTGGAGAGGGGTGAGGTTATCTTTTCGTAAAATTATCATAATTTGTTTTCTATCCATCAGATATAGATCGGACGGTCTATATTGCAGGATGGCAGGCACACCATCATCATCAACTCGGTTTTTTATAAGAGTAGAGATTGGTTTATACAGTAGGCGCATCAAATTTGGGATATTCATGTTTCTAGCAGCCTGAGATGCCAGGTAATAAACTGGTAAGTGAACAAGATGGAATAACAGACTGCAGAGCACCTGGTTGCAGGCAATAATGTAAGACACTCTGTGGGCTCTGCTCCTCTTCTCTCTCCCCTTCCACCCTTCTTCCTATAAATACAAAGGCACTGCTCACTTTCTTCACTCCGCCACATTGGAAATTGAAACTCTAGTTGCAGAATTACAATGTTATATGTTCATCTGCTGTTCTTCATGAATTGCAGACCCCTACAAAGGCAGTAGGATGCCCAGCGCACGCACTAGGGGAGACCTGCCCCTCAGGTTCCTGCAGGTAAATCAAAACTCAAGTTGGTGGTTGTCGATGTAGGAGATATGCACATGATAACAACGATATGTTTCATTTCTTGTACAAGGTTGCTATCCATATATAGGTGTTGAAAGTCGCTATTTGTCTACCGTTTATTCCATTGTTCTGAGTTATGATGGTGATTTGTACAGAGATTGCTTACATGAAGACAAAGACATGCCAATATTTTGGTTTGGTGCCAAAAATAGGCATGCCAATATTTGGCATTGTGCCAAATGTTGGCTACTACTTGGTTGGTTACCGAGTTGTCTTACCTAAACTTTACTTTTTAAAATATTTTTAGTTGCTCCTTCATATTACAACTGCTAAACTGCCATCGGCCCCTCAAAAACAAAAGCATGCACACGATTATCCATAGGATGTGTGTTGAATGAAATAGAAGGCAACAAGAGCCCACTGGAGGTTGCAACTCAAGTGGCAAAAGAAGCTGATGAGTAGGATGGATTCAACCATATACTAGCTGATCTAAACAGGAATGTCACGGTCTATGCGTCAAACCGGCCAAAGGGGCAGCCTGCAACGATTCAGCTCGTCTCACCAGGACTCCATATGTTGTACAGTACTCCCTCCGTCCCATAATATAAGAACGCTTTTCAAGCTAACAAGTTTGTAAAAACGTTCTTATATTATGGGACGGAGGGAGTACAAGGCTAGACAGCCCTTGGCAGAAGGTAACAGAACTACTCCATGTCCAATGGACACCACCTTACAAATTGATTGAATTCCCAGAGTGCCACAGATATATAAGTGCACATGATGCGAAAATCCACATGATGTTGTTATTTGATAAAATACTGGAAGAACATCAGTAGCAAGCTAAAAATGTTGAATGTCCAATGAGGTGTCCTTTGTTGATTTTACTTGTAATGCACTAAGAATCCAAAAGGAGACTTTTAAGCTGGAAAATATGTGAGAAAGCAACATGAAAGCCATTTCAAGTACTTCCCTAGTTATAGAGGGCTTGATGAGCTTGCCGACGATGACATCCTTTGGAAGCACACGGCTTCCGGGAACTACTCCGCGGCCTCCGCATACAGGGCGCAGTTTTTGGGCTTGGTCCTCTCCTCCATGGACCAAATGGTTTGGAAGGTTTGGGCCCCTCCGAAAGTCAAGTTCTTTGCTTGGCTCGCGCTTCAAGATAGGATCTGGAGTGCAGACAGATTGCAGAGGCGAGGCTGGCCAAACTGTGGCCCTTGTCCCTTGTGCAAAGGGGTGCAGGAATGCGGTCCCCATCTATTCTTCAGATGCCGCTTCACCCTCAGGCTCTGAAACATGGTGATTTAGAAGCTCTGCATCCACGACGTGGACACGTCCGCATGGCACTTGTACGACTCCATCAAGGAATAGTGGGCGAGTTTGAGCGCCGAGGGCACCGCCAACCGAAAAGCGAAGGCTTCGATAACCATGTTGGTTTCATGGGTGATCTGGAATGAGCGTAATGCAAGGGTGTTTAGACACAAGAGTGCCCCTCCGCATGTCTTGCTAAACAATGTGATCGAAGAGTCCAACCTTTGGGTTAAAGCCGGGGCGAAAAATTTAGGGTCTTTCTTATTGCGAGAATAATTGCCATGCCGTTTCTTGGCACTGTGTTGTAACAAACTCTTTCTCCTCCTCATTTAATATATGAGGCAAATCTTTTGCCTCCGTTTCAAAAAAAAAAGTTATAGAGGGCAGTGCATTTAACTCAACTATTAATAGCACTGCATGTACAAGCAGCAAGACAGGAGTAGATAGCACGTGAACATGATTGCAAGCTACTCTGTCTTAGGGACTATCCAGTATACTATAAGAATCTGCCCAAGGCATGCATTGCAGACAATTTTTCATCATTGCATATATTGCTTGTAGGCAATTTGGTAAAAACTTCAGGGAGTTTATAAGGAAGCATGGTGATGATGAAGTTGAAGCAAAGGATATAGCAGCTGACAGACTAATGACTGACACCACGAGGGCTGATAAAGATAGGCTGCCAAACACCGGTTGTGATCCCAACTGGGAGCACGGTCTGAGCTCCATCTTCATCGAGGTGCAAACTGACAAAGTGAACATAAAATCATTGACTTAATTGCAGTTTACAAGTACATTCAGAGTTGAATTATCTGAAAATTATCCTATTAACCACTAAAATAACATGTAGATGTTCTAGTACAGAACCCTATATCGAGACAGCAATGCTATATTATTTACATTTTTTCACATGATTCTGTTTTTGCAAAGGGGCTCTATGTGGGACAAGGAGCAGAGCAGTTCTTTCAGTGAACTATGATGGAGAAGCTAGCTTAAGTACTTCGAGAGTGGAAGGACCACACAGTGTATTACCAGATAGAGTAGCCAATGCGCACCTAAATGTGGAAGCCTCAAATAGGAAGAAAAAATGAATAGCTACCATTGTGCATGCTGTTATTTCGACAGTTGCGCTTTAAGATCACATAATGATATCTAATTATGGCGATTAAAATTATTTACTGTGCGTGGATTTATCAATTCAGAGACAGATACAGTCACATTGTTGAATATACATACATAATAATAATATGATATGTGTATAATGTATCTACAGACTTCATGTTGCCACCTTTGCCTATGATCATACATGCTTTACTACAGACATTGTACCTTCAGTTCTTCAATACAGTAGATATCGACTCTGATATTTACTAAATGTATACTTCAGACCTGAATGTGTTCAAGAACTAAACACTGAAACTACATAAGGAACACTCTGTGCCAATATTTGAAGAAAAATGTGTCTAGCGTACCTCTTTTCTTCAATAGGCTGGAGTGCGGTGGTCATTCAGAGGTTTCTAGTCCCGCAGTCCTTGAAAAGGCACAGAAAAGGCCAGTCCAGAGCATACCATAATATGATGTCTGCACTCTGCAGTCAGATACAGTTGTATGGATATATGTATGCACCATTTCTAGAAATCTTTCCAAATTGCACAAGAGTACCGGCACAGGATTGCAATAAGATGAGAAGTTACACATCACCAATAGGAGTACAGAGAAATATTTAGCTTTACTGTCGCAATCTCAGATATACAAGCAGGCTAGAAAGAACTGTGAAGCCTAGTATTACACCCCAATAGTTGAAAACAACAGTTTCTCCTGTGTGATCTTGTTCTTCCTTGTATGCTTCTTCTCTGCACGGTTTACTTCGCTGCTCACGGCACTGCTGGGCTATCCACCTTGTAATAGTTCTTTCATGAACAACCAGCTGTTCCAAACAATCTGGGGATCTCAGTTCACAGACATTGCTGGAGATTGTCAGGACCAGCAGTGTCTTGGCCACACTGCCAGAAGCTCGGAGTGCGCACAGTAGATCAGACCACACCTTCAGGCGGCCACACCTACCGCCGAACCCCGATCCTTCCGGAACCACAACCACAGCAAACTCCGAGTGGACGAGCGCCGGGTGATGACGGTAAGCGACGAAATCCGTCCCATACTGCAAACCTGACCGCACCACCCAGTTCTTCGACCTGAGATGCGAGTATGCCTTGTACATCTCGGGAAACGACTCTGATGCGGAGCATAGGCGATCCCACAGCTCCCCTTGGCTCATCAGGTCCTTGCTCGCCGACTCGACCACGATGCACTCCAAAGCATGGCGAAGGTAGAAGACCTCCTCGGCGCCCAGCTGGAACCACTGCTTCTCGGCTCCGGCGTTTTCCAGTGCCCGGCCAAAGGCGGCACGGTTCAGAAGCGCGGCTTGCTGCGGGTTCACGGCAAGAACCGCATCCCCGCCCCCGGTAGATAAAGTTGCCACAACTTTTGATTCTTTCAGTGAAGACCGGAGCTTGGCAACAATGCTTGACATGGGCTGGGCTGCTGCCAGAGCTGAGAAATCCTTGCCGTCTTTGCCCTTCTTCCATCTTGGACCAGGCATGTCCATCAGCTGGGAAACACAGAAAACACAGGACTTGAGATTTATAAGAAAAGTATACAGGGGAAATGTTAATCTGTGCTAGTGCAAATGAGAATGATTCGCCAGCTCCCTCCCTCGGGTCTGCTCTCAAACAAATCGCCAAATCTCTTGCTAGTGTAAATGAGAATGATTCGCCAGCTCCCGCAATGACTCGGTGGCATATCACCTGCTGACCGATCCACGCTCATACGGATACGGCAGCCCAAAGCAAGATCATTTTGACCGCATTTTTACTACGGGTGTCGGGACGAACCTGAGGCGGGGCGGAGAGGAAGCGGCAGCGGCAGCGGAGGCGCGCGAGGGCCAAGATGCTGCCGCCGATGGGCGACGGCCGGGGTACGGGACGGGTGGGCGGCGGCGCTGTTCTCTCCTATGGCCTTGCGGCGGCCGCCGGCGGAGGGGGGGCAGGAGGGAGCTCTCTGCGCCAAGTTGCCCTTGCTTCACCCGAAAAAAAAAAATTGCCCTTTTCTTTCGCACAGATCGACCGAGCGGGCCGGCCCGCTCGAACTACTGTACCGACTCGGTCTAGTTAGCCACGCCTAACCCTTGTCTCAAAAAAAAAAGCTACGCCTAACCCTCAAAAAAAAAGTTGGCCACGCCTGAATTTTTTTCCCTGTTCAGTTTTCTAACTTTTTTTTACTACCATATATTTTTTTATTTTTTTTATTGAACACCTTCTTCACGATATCAATTTCTGCTCGAAGAAATACTCCAAAGAATTCAGAGCAACAATGTTGTCACTCTTTCACCCGCACGAACATTACCAATAATGAGTTTTGAAAGCACCTTAGTCGTCCATCTAAAAAGATGGGAAGCCTTGATCAATGAACGTACTTGGGCCGAGGATGATCCCCTAGAAATGTAGGTCGTTGAATCACTCTATCTTCATCATGGTGTCGATGAATGATTTCACCTTCATAAAAATCAAACCAACCAAAAAAGCTTGACAGGGCAACATAAACTCATCAGATCCGAATAATGCAATCTACGAGGACAGAAAACTCTCTAACCTCATGGCACTGCCAAAAGAACATGGGAAAGTTCGTTCTCATAAAACTAGGGTCCCGATAACTGCCACACGTGTGGTGTATCGGGTAGTTGTGCCACACGTCTCGTGTGGCATGGACAGCAACCAGCCCACACATCTACGTGTGGGCAAAACAACTAATGCCCACACACATCTTTTTTTCCCTCCTGAACCCTCTCACATGCGTGCGTGTGGGCGAAGTTGATAACGCCCACACGCCCGTATGTCAGGCCTCGTACCCTTCTGGTCCTGCACGCGACGCGTGACGCCCACCGTGCGCCCGCAGTTGCCATGGTCCAGACCCTCGTCCATATTCGTTTATCTGCAGTTGCCATATCGCTGAACTACGGTTGCCATGTCGGACAACTGCAGTTGCCATGGTTGCTCAACTGCAGTTGCCATGTATAGTCTGATCTAATGTAGTTGCCATGATTTCATAACTTTAGGAGTTGCCACATACTAACACTAGGCAGTTGAGAGAGTTGCCATGTGCTCACAAGCATGCTAGGGCAGTTGCCATGTAAAAAGGAAGAGTTGCCATCTGCTTACGTGCACGTTAGGGCAGTTGCCATGTACGTGCACGTTGGGGCAGTTGCCATGTACCATGCAAAAACACATGGCAACTCGATAAAAGACAGTTGCCATCTGCTTACGTGCAATCTAGGCAGTTGCCGTGTACCCTGCAAAAACACATGGCAACTCAGGTAAAAAAAGAGAGTAGCCACCTGCTTATAAAGCACACTAGAGGCAGTTGCCATGTGCGCTGCAAAAACACATGGCAACTAGCAGCTTACGTGTGAGAGAGGAGACGGGCGTGTGGGCGAGATGGCAAATGCCCACACACCAGCCCTTGTGCGTGACTGAAAACTGGTGTGTGGGTGAACTGCTAAACGCCCACACACCGGCCCCTCCGTGTGGTAAAACGGATGTGTGGACGAACTATGTCACGCACCACACACACGTCTTGTCCTACGTGGCACAGAAAATCAGCCAAATTGTGTCAAGATTCGTGCATATAGTACTGGACGGTGATGGATGCGTGTGGTCGAGATGGTCAACGCCCACACGTGTGGGCGTTAACATTTCCGTAAAACTATGATGATCACTAGACATTGACGAAGAACATAGAGGTCTTGAAGATCCGAGGTCCCGCCACCTCTTAATGCCAAGATGGCAGCTGGAGGCGAGGGGCTCAAAATTTCTCAGATGGCGGCGGCGACGGCGGCACGAGAAACCCTGGCTAGCCAGGGAACCAAAATGAAGTTTTGTATGAGGCGCTCGCGCTAGCTCGGGGCCTCAATCTTTAGAAATTGGTCCTAAAACTAATTTCTCACAAAACTATCAAACCCACCGGCACCGGCCTTTCTCCAGTAATCCCATTCAACGAAAAATGAGCACCATCACCGAGTGTTGGTGCCTCACATTCGCAAAGACACGGGGCATTTCGTTTGTTTCCAAAGGTTCCAGGAAATCAAGATAACTAAAGAGTCGATTCCTCGCTTGTCCTTATTGGCAAAGATCCTCCTAGCAGCAAGCCACCGATCTTCTAGGTTGTCCTCATAGAATGGACAAACAACATTGACATGGAACCTAGAAAGGCATCTATGACAAGTCTCTCGCGACCCAACATTGCATGGTGATGTGTTCAATGTTGTCCTCGCCCTGATTGCAAACAAAGCATGGAGATGATTCATCCTGCAATCCATGGCTAGCATTCCTGTCGGAAGTTCAAACTCTGATGGGGGGCAAGCCAAACATACATCTTGCATTTCAGGGGGGTGCCGGCATCTCCAAAGACAATACGTCGTCGAAAACAGCTTGGTCCTTTGGTAAAGGAGCCAGTACACTGATCTGGCCAAGTAGCTCCCATTCGAGGTTCATGGCCAAGAGATTGTGTTCGGTTGAACGACATTTTGATTCACTTTATGGGTAGCATGCCTAAGCGCATTGTACCACCCTTCTTCCATCAGCAAGACAAGAGGAGCAAAGGCCTTCAACCCACCTATTTTTTTTTTCATTCAGAACCAACGGGATGATGGTGAGCTGGCCAAAGTTCCATCACCCCGGAGCAGGTCCTCACCACAGCTTGCTGTCTGTCCAAAAGGGTAGAGTAGAGCCGTGGTTCCATCAGTCACGATTGACCCTGGCCTCCGAGTCAGTAATTATCGCTCCCTCAACACGACCGGCTTCCACACTACCAGGGCAGAACCTAATCAACTGAACCGCCCCAGCTCAAGCCTCGTCAGAACAACGGCGACACGGCAACACCGTCTACCATCATACCGCAATGAGGCGTTACGAGTCCTCATTGCGGTACAACAATTATCCTATGTCACAAGATGATAACCAGATTGTTTTCGTCAAAGATAGGAAAACGTGCATAACTACCTTGAATGCAATCAGAGTGACCTCCCCATAGGCAGCCCCTGCCAAGGCCTATCTGATTGCATTCGTATAAACCATTCCCATCATTTTCCACATTCCAATTCTAAGAAAATCAGTCAAGAGTATTTAGGGCCTCTTCGACTGGATGGATTGCAAAAATGCAGGAATAGAGAGAAAAAAATACACAGGGTTAGAATGTGCTGACCACTCAGGATTTGTTGTACCACAGGAAACATAAATGTTTTTTCCCCAAATAAGATTCAATCCTACTACTCCCTCCGTTCGGAATTAGTTGTCGTAGAAATGGATGTATCTAGATGTATTTTAGTTCTAGATACATCCATTTCCGAGACAAGTAATTCCAAACGGAGGGAGTATATTCTAACAACATAGGCACAACTCCCAAGGATTCCAATCCCCATGAAAATCCTTCGAATCAAAGAGGCCCTTATAGAATTGATACATCATGGCAGTTAAATGTACATGTGACAACATGAACAAGAATATCATGATTTTTCATTCACCTCACACTTCACCAAATTACAATGTGGGTTGTGCAGTAGATGTCCTAACAAAAAAAGATGATGCGAATTAAAAATCGAAGGATGCGACTTAAAAATCACTGGAAGGACGCAACTTCGTCGTTAAAACGTGCGATGACGTCAGCAATGCTCTCTGTGGATAGGTCTGCCCTGTCTCTTACCCTCAGAGAGACCTGCAACAGTACAGATCATTAAGATAATTCAGCATTTCATATGGAACCATAATCAGTGCGCCAAATCAGTACGAGGGCAGGCAAAATCAGTCAAGCAGATGAACTACAACAAATGATTGATGATGTAAACTGTATGGTCAGTTTTAGTCTTCCAACAGTAAAACCACAGTCAAACGTGGCCTGGTATATGATTTACCATTCACAGGATACACATGTGTACTTTAATAAATAAACAAGCACCTAATGCATTGGTCCATGCACGCTGAATGGAATTCCTAAAATTACCAATAACGGCAGCAGGGGAGATTATAGATACAAATTAACCCTTGCTAATACTAGTAATAGATATTCCATGCTATAGTGAGATAGATTCATAAAATAAAATGGCCGATTTATATCAGCCTAACCTTTCAAGGTTTCCCAACAAATAAAACAGATATGCTAGGTTTAATCTGGAATGGCCTTTTTTTATGAGGGTGGGAAAAGTCAAACCTTTCCAGACTCTGCCTCTTTTGCGCCGACGACTAGAATATAGTTGAATTGGGCTAACTGAGCCTCCCGCACCTGCAATGATGATTTGAAGGATGCAAATTTTGTGATATTTCAGTTGTGTACTTGCGCACTTCAATAATCATCATCATCATAATAATAATAATAATAACAAAATTTGATTCGGAGGGAGTAATAATTTTAAAAAGATGCAGAGGTGTTATTTTTGCACATAAATGTGTTCAATATATTCTCGACATCTGTGAATTCATATGTTTCGCTGGGAGTTCTTTTAGAAAATTGTGAGGTACATGTACAACCCACCAATCTTTACTTTACTATACATAATACAGTAGTATTTAAATGAGAGTTGGTGGTAACTTAATATGATCGATAAAGTTTACTATATTCGCAGCAAAGCACAGGCATTTTGCTAGTTGAACTATATTAGATGTGTGATAAAGGAGAAAACGATACAGTACATTCAGTCCAACAATCAAATTAGTGTATACCACAACGCTGCAAATAATCCATATTTTCCATTCAGAAAGTTCAGACAAACAAAATAAGCACATACTACAACAGAAGGTAAGAAAGTGCACTAAAAGTCAAAGATCTGATTACCTTCTTTTGAATTGTTCTATCAGTCATGTCAATGTCAACATGAAAACCAGCTGCACGTATCTGAGCATGAACCTGAGAATGAGAAGCAAATCAATTAGTCACTTTGTGTTCCATTGTAATGTAAACACGTCCAAATTTACATACATTGTGAAATCACATTTACCTCTTTTGCATATGTTAGTGAATTGGCGGATACACAGCAAACAATGGCTTGTCGGGGGCTTAACCACAACGGCCATTTACCATTATAGTGCTCCAAAAGAATGGCAAACATCCTTTCGACTGATCCTAGTATTGCCCTGTGTATCATTACAGGCCTCTCAAGCTTGGCTTCATCCTCTGCAGAATAAGTCAACTTGAAGCGAAGTGGCAGCTGAAAATCAAGCTGCAACAGACAACAAGGGTTAAATAGAAGACAATTATATTCTCTATAGTTGATGTCAACATAACATGAAAGCGAACCTGTAGAGTTGCACACTGAAATTTCCTCTTGAGGGCATCAAACACACCAATATCTATTTTCGGGCCATAGAAAGCACCATCTGCTTCATTTATCTGCACATGGATATCTAAGTAAGAATTGACAGAATCATGGCTTAACAAACAGCCAGGCATGCAAGTTTCTTTCAATGCAACTACAACACTGTGGTAAATACGCTACTGCTGATACAAACCGGATCAGTCACAAGACAAATTAAAGATAAAATTCAATATTAGCAATCGTTACTTGAGATTGCAAGAAAATACCCCAGTAAGTGAACCTTTTGTATCCTGCTTAATTTTGCTGTTCTTTCTGTAAATGACCTTGAGTTGTTTTTCACATTCTTTCTACAGGTATCAGATGTCACTCTGAAATATTAATGCAAAAACAGATATCTGGTATCCACCCTGTTTGGTTCCTGGACACACTTCCCTGTCTTAGGTTTGTTCTTGGTTTGCACCACAACTGTGGCTTGCCACACTTAATTGTTCACACAGTCCATTTGGCATATAACCTTTTCCAGAATATTGCCCACTTGTGTGGATTTTGTTAGCCACTCCTTGGTGGCAAGTCACACTTTGCCTAAGCTTAGATGCAACTAAGCCATAAATCAAACATTCCTTGGAAGTACTAGATGCTATAAATGCACATCTAGCAGCAATGGGTGATGGGAAAATTATGGGTAAAACAACTCCGCAAAGGTACCTTCCATGGCTTCCCAAACTCATTCAATGCTTCTGTCAGTTGTTGCTCTGCTTTGTTCCAGGTCTCAATGTCACCTAAATACTTCTCTGGTCTCTGAAAAAGTAAACATTCATACTATATATTAGATGGAGTATTATGTAGTGCATATGTTAACAGGGAGAGCCCAGAGATAGGTTTATGCAGTTATTTCTATGAGATTTGGCAGTATGAAACTTTAGTATTTGGATTAGCAATATTCACATGTTCATATGTATTCTTCAACATGCTGAGAATTGATTACATATTACTGCACACACCAAAGATAGGAAAATGTGCAGAGTCCCACAGAGAAAGGATGACATGGCATCAACTGACTATAGTGTTAGAAGCCTAGAATGCCAAAAGAGAGATCCATAGGCATTTCATTAACCAGGCCAGCGGTTCATCAACCTATAACTGACCCACAAATATATTCCACAAACATAACAACAGGAGAAACGTGACTATGAATACCGCGATGCATCATTACTAAGATTTTCAGTACGTTCATAAGGGAAGATATTAAAATAATGATAAAGTGCCATATTAATACTGTCAATATATATGCATGATGTTATGATTCAACTTCAATCGTGGTTACCAAATATGTGCTAAAGAGAAGGAAGCAATCAAACAAGGCTGTCTACTAAAATGTACTCCCTCCGTCCCAAAATAAGTGACGTGCTTTTAGTTCAATTTGAATTAAAAACCGCATCACTTATTTTGGGACGGAGGGAGTATTTTATAATTTTAGTCCATTCAGTACAGTAAAGTTGCAACCTCTCAGCATCACCATTTCATGAGAATTGTCAAATATGTATTAGAAGTTGCTGCAGATGTTATCAGTACATAAAAGAATTAGATTACAATTACCGTTGATAACTCCAGCTCATATTCAAACCCAAATATTTTATAAACATAATCAATGAACTCCAAGCAAGCCCGAACTTCATCCTTGATCTGCACCAACGAAATAACTTAAATAGGTGTGCAATAACACAAACTCACAAACCAGCTCAAGTGCTAAACTAATCCAAACTACAATAAAACTACTGTCTGTGGGATGTGAAAATATTGAAACCTGCTGGAAATATCACACAGAGCATGAATTTGTGTAAAAAAAATCTCAAATTCGCAGGAGAGCTGTGTATCATCATTGTATTAAGAAGAAAAAGAAGGGGTAAGAACCCTTACAACAGACACACACACACAGAGAGACTGAATTTGTGTAATCATGCAGCAAAAACGTTTACAATGAAGCATAATATAATGCCAGTAGCATCAAAAAGGGATAATCTATGTATCACAAACTTACTTGGCTCTCCGTGCAGAAAATATGGGCATCGTCCTGAAAGGAACATAAAACAAAACGATGATCTAAGTATGGAGCTAATCAGAAATAGTAACTTTTTTTTATCTTGGAAACTAAAGACTCATGGAATCACATTAGACTTTACCTGTTGGAATCTTCTGACACGTGTCAAACCTGTAAGTGCACCACTAAGTTCATTTCTGTGCAGAACTCCAAAATCAGCCATGCGGAGAGGCAACTCTGCAGCATTTCATTAAACAAATTTGCTAGAATTAGCACAACTGATCAAATCCACCTTACAGCAGCAGACAGAATTCCCACTAAGAGTATTAGAGAAGCCCAATTAATTCCCTCTAATACTTCAAATTGTGAATGCCGAGGTTTGCTTGATTTGAGTACTTGACATTTATTGGACATTGGACGCAAAACTAATCAATCTTTGTAATCTTGGGCCCAGGTTCTTCTACCCAAATAAGGCTTAGATGCACACCTAAAATGCTGGATTGTTGCGCACTGTGTCAATACGATGCCCGCCTATCAGTTCAAACTTTTGGATGAACTGGTTGGTGCATGCAACTCTATGGTATCAGAGCCAAGAGACCTTGAATTCAAGGCCCGGCCAACAAAGTTTTCCCAAAATTCTTGTAAACTACATCGATCCCTCATCTCATGCCTACAACAGCATATTATGCAGGGCAAAATCCAGCATTTTTTTTACAAATATTTGTTTGGATTGGTTGCGTAGCCATGCCAATACCTCTTTGCCAACTCTAGTTCTTTTTTTGCTAACACTGGCCAACTCATGGGCAACCAAAACCTTGGCCAAATACCAATATTTTGTACGGCAAGCTTGTCAAACTGAACATACCCATAGTGCGAACTTTTCTCAATCAATTTGAGGTTTTGGGTGAATTAGTTGCTGCAGGCAATTGAATATCATGAGATTTCGCATTAAAGATCAGTTCACCAAAATGAAAATGAGATAAAGCACTGACTTCTAGATAATAAGTGCGCAACTCACAGTACCAATAAAATAGATATTACAGGAAAAATATTTCAGAAATGTCTTCTAGGCATAGCCGGTCCCAAGCCCGGGTAAAGGAGGAGGGTTGTGATAGGCTTAGCGAGCCAACGTAAAAACTAGCCAGTCCCATAGGTATGAAACCCATTTGAGCGAGAATAGTACTAGGATGGGTGACCTCCTAGGAAGTCCTCGTGAAAGGGTTTCATATCTAAGGGTTGTGATAGGCTTGGCGAGCCAACGTAAAAACTAGCCAGTCTTTTGGGTATGAAACCCATTTGGGCGAGAGTAGTACTAGGATGGGTGACCTCCTGGGAAGTCCTCGTGAAAGGGTTTCATATCTAGCCTACCCCAACTTGTTTGGGATAAAAGGTTTCGTAAGATGAAAGGAATAACCTTTATAACCACCACCATTGCAATTTTGCAAGGTACTGAAACTAAGAAACCTCAAACCAGTACTGGTCACTATATAGGTTGCGCCACCTTGAAGCAGCTCAGTGTATAATCATTGCACTCGGCCTAGCACGCACTTTTTCTAATAACCAGTGAGGGTACCTAGTACGTATGGCCTACTAGACCTAATTTTAATACCTTGCATTTTTATTTTTAACCATGCAGGATAACTGCATTTTTAACTTGACCAAGATATCATTAAGGAATCTAAACAGCAAGAGAGAATTTACCTCTATACGATCGAACCTCGTGTCCAAACATTAGGCAATGGCCAGGACAATTCATTGGCTTAAGGCCAAATTCTTGTTTCTCGATCTGCACAAGAAAAAACAAGCACCCATTAAGGTCAGACCACGACACAAATATAATCTAGATCATCACACTTATGATTTTCCTTTAGTATCTGCAAATGTGCTTACCTCAAAAACAAACATGTTGTCCTTGTAGTTTGCAGCATGTCCAGAGGTTTCCCAAAGTTGCATGTTGTAAATATTTGGACTCAGAACCTAAATAAACACACACAAGGAATAGAAAAACAAAAGGCATAGTTCAACTATCGATGATCTAGGATAATTATTACTCCCTCCATCCCAAAATATAATAGCGTTTTTTACATTACACTAGTGTCAAAACGCTCTTATAATTTGGGACGGAGGGAGTACGAATTAAAACCAACCTCTTGGTAGCCTCTCTCTCTATACTCCTTGCGCAAAAAATCCATCAATTTGTTATATATTATAGCGCCATGTGGAAGGAAGAAGCAGCTACCTGGGCTGCATAGTTGCAAAGTTTTGTCAAAGAGCTATCTAACAGCAGGCCAGTGAGTAAAGATCTAGAAAATAAAGATATGAAAAGGAACAAGATCAGATAGGAAAAAATGCGAAGGTACCTAAGTGGATGGAAAAAGAAGAGTTTCTGGGACTGCCCTAATAACCTATGATCGCGTTTCTTAGCTTCCTCTATCATATGTTGATATTCCTGCAGATTATAAAAAGCAAAACTTGCATGAAAAACAGAATAGGTTGTTTATGATTTGAAAATCAAAAGAATTAGGAGTATGACTAAAATTAAAATTCAGGACTGCAGCCTACATTATCTAACCAGTTTTTTTATCTCCAACATACAAGTGAGCTACTGATCATCTCATTAAGATGAAAGAAAAGTACAGAGAGGGGGGCAAAACACCCACACCTCCAACACACACGCCACACTCACACACTCTGAACAAACTAGCTAAGGATCACCACGCATAGAGATGCAGACGACTGGCTCGCCCAGGGGAAGGACTAAGTGTTTGACTGCGGACCATGGCCTCAGGCCGGGCAGAGGTATGCAGAGCTAGGGTTTGAGAGAAGGAAGATTTGGGAATGGGAATTGGTTGTCAGCAGCAGGGCTAATAAAGGGTGGTAATGAGAGCAGCCAGTGCGCCGAGAAGGGTGGCACTGGGCATTCATGGCAGGATACTTCTTTTTTTTCCTTCTACACACGAGGCCCATCTGTAAGTGACTCAGCACAGAGGGGCAAACAGTCCTAAACACAGCGCAGTCACGGTCAAACGCCTCTGACTAGACGGAAACCACACGGAAGGGTATTTCTGTAACAGCACCAAAATTGTGCACACTCGAAAACTAAGGGTAAAACCATCGAGAGGGAACCAATTAAGAGCAAGAGTGTAAAAATCCCTTTTATTAATACAAGAAACTTGTTTGAAGTAACCAATAAAAAGGCATATGCTTTCACAGGGATATAGGAAAGTTGTACACAGCTGATGTAGCAGTGTTGTGCAAATCAAGCCACCACAATGCATGTTAAAAGGGAAGAAAGATGCTAGCTATAAACTAAAGGAACATATTCTGTGAAACTTGCATGACATATCCTTGTGCGTACACAATTTTCCAGTTTCCAAATCATCAAAGATACTCAAATTACCTTGAGACGTTTAGAATCAGGGAAAGAGATTCCATATACTCTCTGCAGGCTCTCACGGTCTGCTTTTCCTCTCCAGTATGATGCTGAAGCCTATATTTACACATCAAACTTAAGTATCTAATATCATCAAGAGAACTTGGGAGTTCAATGGATAACCAAAGAAGAAAAATACCTTGAGGCAAGCGAAAGCTTTAACAAAGGAAGTATTTGGGATGTGCGGGCCACGGCAAAGGTCGACCAAAGGACCACATCTGTATACTGTAATGGTCTTGTCCTCGGGCAATTCGTTAATTATTTCAACCTGAATGTATGGTTAAACATATTCAAGGAAACGAACATGATGTCTCGAGGTGACATAGGAATCACTTTGATATTTAGATATAAAAGATCGAAGGACGGAAGATATGTATGATGAAGGTTGCCTTAAATTCATTTTCCGCAAAAACTTCAAGAGCTTCTGCTCTGGAGACTTCAATGCGTTCAAATGGTTGCTTCTCCTGCATCAAGTTGAGTTGGAAAGCGCTTGTTAAAGAAGGAGTTTAGTTATGTCACAGAGATAAGACACTAGTTTAAAAAAAGTACATTGTTCGGAAGTGGCCACAAATTATGGGTAGGCAAAAACTTGAGTAAAAAAGAATTGAGTAAAATATGATAGCATACCGCAACAGCCTTTTTAGCTTGCTTGTCAATGAGACCAAAGTGTGTATCATTCAGTGTCAAGTCCTTGTAGTGGGCGTCGTAGTAAAAACCCTTAAGAGGCAAAGTGTCAAGTCATTAGAACACTGAAAAAATAGGACTAGCATATTTTCATGCCCCAACCCCAAAACTTTAGAGTGATCCCATACCTCTCCTCTTGTAGTACAAGGTCCAATGCACAACTTGCAGCCATACACCCTCTCGAGAGACTACAAACAAACATCTTGTTCGGTTAGAAAAAAGATGAATTGAGAATGAATTATAACAGAGACCTGAGAAAGAAAAACAAAAGGCTATGCAGCTACCACACAATTTGGCCGTAAAGAAAAACTACGATCGGAGATAGATATCCAGGACAGTATGACTCACTTCTCCAAGAATATGAGCACTTGAGTGCCAGAACGTGTCACGCCCTTCGTTGCTGTCAAACTTGAACAGCTTCAGGTCGCAGTCGCCTTCCAACGGCCTCGTCATGTCCCAGAGTACACCGTTCACCTGAGCTATCAGACAGCTGGCCGCTAACCCAGTTGATATCCCCGAGGCGATATCCATCGGGGTCGATATCCACTTCTTGCCTTCCTTTATCGCACCATCAGGCAAAGTTACTCTGCATGGTATTGCAAGCAGGAACCAACATTATTATTACACAAGCGGAACACGTAACAATTTACATGGTCCAAAGCAGGACGATAGCGTGTGCAATTGAATTCAGAACTCCCAACAAAGGTAGTATGCTAGCTGCGGGAAACAAGCAAGTAAACTGCTACTACTTGTGAAGATGATCTGAAATTTGTGGCAGAGAACGCATGCGCCTAACAACAAATCGGATTCCGCCATCATGCGGCTACGCGATTAGTTTCCAGCTCGACCACTCCCTGTTGAATTTATGCGCTGATTACATAAATGAAAAAAAGGAGACCATGTTTACGCCGCGGGGGAGCGGAGCGGAGACTCGAGCCCGGGTCCCTCTGTTCTGTTCCCAGCTAATTATGTATGCATTAAAAAAAAACACGCGAGGGTGGGGAGGGAGGAACACGCACCTGATGGGGTCGCCGCCGATGTTGAGGCGCTCGAGGGCCTGCCGGGCCTGGATCTCCTCGAAGATGCGGATCCGCTTCTGCGTCACCGCCTCCAGGTAGGGCGCGTCCGGCGCGACGGCCGGGTCGCCCATCGGCTCGGCGGAGAGGTGGAGGAGGAGGCGGGGCGGGAGCCGGGGCGGGGGCTGGCGCTGCCGGAGGAGGGAGAGGCCTCGTCGGAGGCAGATAAGCATATAGTGGCGGCGGCTGGAAGGAAGGGTTTGTTTAAGCCCCAGGGTTTTTTGACCTCTTGCGTGGTAGGGTTTGGTGACGGCAAGTCATCGAGAGATGCCGGCCAGCGAGCCCCTCTCCTCCCCGAAGCGCTAGGCGGGCTGGCCCATTTCGGAAGGAGGCGAGCTAGGCAGCGCTAACGGGCCGGGCTCATGCATGTATTTATATATGTTCATTCTAATTTTGTTTAAGACACGACCATTTTCTTAACATGGTAAAATCAAAGTCTGAGATCAATCCAGTAAAACGCGAGAGTAACTAATTAACGAGCGCTCCTTCGGGAGCCTCGCAATGATCAGTGTCACTTGGCGCGCTCTCAGCCATTCGCCATGTGTCGCGCTCTGGGTGCTCCTTTCGGATTTTGTTTTTTTTTCGCACGCGTTTTCGGCTTTTTAAACGTTTTTTCTTGTTTTTTCGATGTTTTGGTTTTTCACCGGTCTTCCCTAGCTTTTCGACCAAAAAAATTCAAAAAAAAAATTGCGCAAAAAAGCCCGTTTTCTTTTTTCCCTTTCGCAAGAGTCACGGTTTTGCTTCTGCGAGAGTCACGGCCGTGCCTCTTGGAAACAAAAAAAACGCGTTTTCTGTTTTCTTTTCTTTCGCGAGAGTCACGGTTTTGCTTCCGCGAGAGGCACGGTTGTGCTTTCGCGAGAGTCACGGCATGCTTCTCGAAAACCAAAAAAACGCATTTTTTATTTTTTTTTCTTTCGCAAGAGTCACGGTTTTGCTTCCACAAGAGGCACGGTTGTGCTTTCGCGAGAGTCACGGCCGTGCCTCCTCGGAAACGAAAAAAAACGCGTTTTCTGTTTTTTTTCTTTCTCAAGAGTCACAGTTTTGCTTCCGCGAGAGGCACGGTTGTGATTTCGTCAGAGTCACGGTCATGCTTCTCGGAAACGAAAAAACATATTTTTTTGTTTTTTTTTCTTTCACAAGAGTCATGGTATTGCTTCCACGAGAGGCACGGTTGTGCTTTCGCGAGAGTCACGGCCGTGCCTCCTCGGAAACGGAAAAAAACGCGTTTTTTGTTTTTTTTTTCTTTCGTGAGAGTCACGGTTTTGCTTCCGCGAGAGGCACGGTTGTGATTTCGTCAGAGGCACGGGCGTGCCTCTTTCGAAAAGGAAAAAAAATTCGTGCTCCCGGTTCTGTTTTTTCGTCCGGTTTTTTTCGTGAAAAAAAAGTTCGTCAAAACCTATCAACATGGGATCTAGTTTTGAAGATCTCGGCGCAAGGAATCCAACGGCGAAAGCGGTTTAAGATTTGAACGCATTATTAAAGAAATAAAACATTTTGAATAAACGGATCTACCAAAAAAAGGGAAAAGTCCCAGGTTGCGACAAGTGGCTTGTGCGCCACTTTTTGCAACCTGAGAAAGTTGGAGTGATCTTCCCAACGAATACTCCTTAACTAGTGATTTCGGTAAAACGCGAGCATAGGAATTGGACTTTGGTGGGCTGGGGATACCATTGTCCTTTTATTAACATAGTAAAATCAAAGTGTTTCTCAAAAAAAATCAAAGTTGCTCATATCCACGAGCATACACTCATCCCTATACGCCTGCACGCACCCTACCCCTATGAAGTCGATGGGAACGTTCTCCTCCCACTGGACGAACATCGTCGGAAAAGTCTGAGATAGATTCAGTAAAATGCGAGTGTCAAATTTAGGACTTGAAACCTGGCGGACCGGGAATACCATTGTCCTTCTAACCATCCAGCCACAGGTTGGTTCGCTTAAGGCACAACATATAGAGCATAACAACACATGTCAACAAGATGAATGGTGATAAAGATTTGATAATGAAAGGCCTTCCACATGTTACAGTTAAATTACGTGTCAATCTCAAAAATGTTATTGAACACATAGTATAGTAATCTCATGGAGTCTTGCTTCTTCTCAATGAATTTAGCTCTCTCCCATCTGCATTACCATTAACAGAAGATACATGGTCGAAAAGGCTACCAAAATGATTGGCGGTGGAAATCATCCATTCAAATTTATGGATGCCGAGGACAACACAACAACAACATTAGTCAGGGTTGATCTCCCACCGCACAGCAAAAGCATATTGGCAACTCACCAGGAATTTTGTGGATAATCTACTCAGGGAAGAAACGATGCTATTGAATATAATCATCATAAACGACGCCAATTCTGAAGTTCTTAAGATATGGCAGCGATGACTTAAAGTTGAGCAATGTTGGTCACCTCTCCTTTTATGTTCATGTGAAATCCTTTCAGGACCAGCTCGCCTCTCTTACTAAATCAAAGAAAGAGATTTGTTTCCGATAGTGATAAGGATAAACCCCCAACAGAAATCATATCGATGACTTAATGATTTAAAAAAAGTTTATTGCTTACCTTTCAAAAGCATATCACTTCATGTGCGGGTCAATTTAAAGACATTAAAACCGAGCACTCTTCGAGCCCTCTAAGGCCATCCGTGTTTCTGACCGTCGGATCTATGGACATATCAGTTTTTGGCCATTGGATAAACCTCCAAGCGCAACAGTTTCCCCGAATGAAATGGCCGCCGCTCCCGTAACAAAATTGACTCTCTGGTTAACTAGACCAACCTTGGCCTTTTTAGAGAAGGCGAAGCAGCGACGCCGCACGATTCCTCCGTACTTCTCTCCTCTCTCGCGAGATGCGACCTCTCCAACGACTTCTTCCCTAGGTCCGCTCGCTGCCGCGATGCTATCCCCATAACCGAGGCGTCACGACATCTCCCTCTCGTATGCGTTATGCTTTGTAGAGATTCCAGGTAAAATCAACTTCTTCCTTCTTGGGCTGGAGGTGAAATCATTTTACCTTCCCTACGTTTCTCTTGATGCTACTTAGGTGGAGACGAGAATGCAGTGTAGGATGCATCACTGAACGTTCCTTGCAGCGGCAGCGGCGAGGAGCCCATTATGTTTCCACCTGCTTCCTTTCATGGATACAGTGTCTTCTTTGCCTGCCAGAGCCCAGATCTGGCCGTGGTTTGTACTGGTGAGTCCCTTTTGAACGCCCCTCCCCTACCCCTCCTTTCCATCCCTGTTTATGGCATGTTCTCATGTGCTGACATTTATTTAGATCATCGTTAATATAAGGGACTGGAAGAAATTCATCCCTGCAATAAGAATCTGTCCAACAAAACCAAGGTTGGTTTCTGTACTTAGATCTCTTCTTTAATTATGACTGAATTTTCTCCTTTTTTCTAATTTATGATATCAAGGTTCTTTCCATACGGATGAGCAAAACATAACAATTAGCATTAATTGATAAATCCAATTCAGCTCATGCATACGTATTGTCTTTTACTATTCTATAATGAAGAGATGAAAACTATGTATTGGCGCCACTGAAAAAATAGCAAGCTATAGCGTATTGAGAATTGCCTCGCTAAATATATATCGATGTACAATGTCTCGCTAATAGCACGCTATAGCGCGATACAGCACGCTAATAGCATATTTTGAGGTCGCAGCTATTTTGCTCTAGCGCGCCATTTTTTTTCCGCACAATCAAGTTTCTTTCTCTCATGTGCATTTCTATCGTAGTAGAATATATGACTATATGTTATGCTTTTAACAATTATGATTCTTTGGCAGGGAAGATTGTGATAACATTGAGACTAGGAATGATTCAGAGTTGTTGTTGACTCCAGCTTGCCACACCTTATGATGCAAAATTAACAACTGGAACATTGAAGATGGACGACGAAGCAGTATTACATACTAGAAAGTAGAAATCAAATATAAAAAGGAGAAGATACAGTGGGTCATCATAATTATTTCTTCTGGAAGAACAGGGATGATGCCTAAGCAATGACACTGCCTATGTGACAGTTGATGGGTATCATGGGTATAGGGCTGGAAACTAAACAAGCATCATGTTTCCGTGTTTTTTTGTGTGCCGTCGTGTAGCTTTGTCCATGGTTATTGAACAAAATGCTTATCGATGTAGCAAGTTGTGCTTGTTGGCTCCGAGACCTTTGCTGGACGAGAAGTTTAGTTAGTATTTGCTACATATTAATAAGTTTCTTTTCTTTGACCGGAAGGTCATGGTGAGCTGTGAAGGTCAATTTGGCACTCAATTTAGGAAATTACATGAACTGCTGCTATATATATATTCTAGACAAATATAATATAAATTATACACATATAATCTTCTAACATCGTCAAAATCAAAGATAACACTATGTATTTTTTGGCTTTTACCTCATTTGTACCGTACTGTAAAAGTTGGCTGCAGGGGGGCTTCACTTTCATAGTGGCAGTAAACATATAGATGATGCTCAAAAGTAGACCCATCGTATTACTTCATTTTGTTTCTAAAATCTGCCTTTTGCACACCTACAGGTGCAATTTGAAAGCTATTTATGCTAAATTTCAAAAATTCGCTTCACTTTGTCACAATTTTAGAGCATCCAGACAGGCTGCATGCAGCTTGAAAAGGTAAGATTTTGTTGAGCTATCATTGTATCTTATATCAAATTGTAGCTTACTTATGATGATGGGCCTACTTTGCATCCACATAAGTTTTCTCATCATTTAGGTTGAATGCGAAAAGCAAACATATTACATCCCACCAGGAAAATTCGACTTTATATATGACTGAAATCTTACACCTATTTGTTAAAAATTGGATCACATTGATGAAGGGGGTTCATTCGTGTATTATGCACTCCTATATATTCCTCTAAACATATGTGATACCTGTCCTTATCTTATTTCGGTTGTGCATTTATGTGAAATATATCTAATTTTATATGGACCAAAGCTAATATTCCTGATGTCCAGTTATTGGTATGTTGTACTTCACATGGAGAACATATGTAACAATCGAGGATGATATTATTCATTGGAAAAATAGTAAATGCAAATGATTTATGATTGTGAAATATTAATCCATCGAGGACTTGATTCATCCTCTTGCAGCTTGGACTATTTGGCACAATGGCATCATGCAAAGGCGACGTCTTTTT